CGTAAAGAAACGTCAATTTTTTTTTACAGTTCCTTCCCCCCCCCCCCTCATTTTTTTTTTTTTTTTTGCTGCCATTACCTCGTGCTGTTTCACCTCCATTTCTTTACCTCTCTGCCTCTTCAGTAAAGCAGTGGTTTCTTTCTACATTCCAGTGGAATCAATGATTTACTAATGGGCGTGAAGTGAAGACGGGGCAGCGTGTCATTGATTGGGTTTGTGCACTCTTTTGGCTCAATAACAGGAGAAAGCCCTCGTCATGTGACTGTTGGGAAGTGCTGAAAGCTGTCTGTTCTCCAAACAGTTGACCTAGAATATTAAAACGCTACCATATGTTATGGTGTAATGTGTAAACATGTCCTGTCTTGTCTCATTCATCTCTCCGTCTCTCACTCCCCTCTCTCTCCTTTTCTCTTCCAGACACCGCAGTCCATGACTCTGCCTTGCCAGGTCATTGATGGGAAATCAACTGGATCGGATCACCCACCTCAACTACAGCGAGCTGCCCACGGGGGATCCGTCCGGGCTAGAGAAGGACGAGCTTCGGGTCGGCGTCGCCTACTTCTTCTCTGACGAAGAGGAGGAGGTGGACGACCGCACTCCATCTGACTGCGGCTTCACCAAAGACCACAGCCCGGTGGAAGAGGGACCCTTCTCGGTCACTGAGGTTGAGTACTCTGCGTTCTGCTCCCAGGAATGCATCTTCTCCAAGCTGCGGGAAAACGAGGACCTCAATGTTTACTCGGCCAAAACTTTGCTGACTATGTGCAAACCGGGGGACCTGCTGGAGCTGGTGGCCACAGCGCAAGCCCCTCACTGGGCCATCTACGAGCAGGACGACCGGGTCATTCATCTGCACAAGGGTGAGATCCGTAAAGACAGCCTGCTGGAGATCAGCAGCGGTCGCCATGGGAGAATAGTGAACAATCGGTACCGGTACCGATCGCTTCCTCCAGACCTGGTGATGCAGAACGCAGTGGGACATCTGGGCCTGACCAGCGAGGAGATTTGCTGGACCAACTCGGAAAGTTTCGCAGCGTGGTGTCGGTTTGGGAAAAGGGAGTTCAAAGCTGGGGGAGAGGCACACTCAGCGGAGCAGCAGTATTTTCTCAAAGTGCACCTGTCCGGCAGCGGCGTGCACACTCTGGTGTTTCGTAGCCTGGAGGACATGATCCGGGAGAGGAGGCGAGTGGACGCCAGTGGAATTCTTAAAGAGCTGTCTTTGGTTAACGCGGGGAAGGAGTGATCAGGGATTCCGTTTGATATCACCCCCTCCACCGTCACCCACTCCCTCCCTCTCTCCATTCCACCCCCAGCCTCCGCGTTCCAACAGAGCGCAAGGACGCACGGTTGTGCGCACACACCAACGAACTCCGGCACACAAGCACACAGACGCGCGCACATGCAAGGAAGGACCTGTTGGTTTCTTGGACTGTCTGTCTGTCGTGATGGACACGGTGCTGCGCCTGGACCACTGAGGCGCTCTGTGGATTTTTTTTTTTCATCCAAATGCAGAGTGCTTAAAACTGAAATGCGGCCACATAAACAGACAACGCCCCTTCAGATGAGAATCTGTGGGACACACGATTTTTACTTAAACCATTGCCCCAAACAGAGAAATCACCTTTAACACACGCGCACTGGGCGCAAGGCTCAGTTTGGTTTTCTGTTTAATTTCTCGGGATAATGGAAACGGCCCCTTTTCTGCAAAGGGCGCCTGCTGCGGCAGACCAGACGGTGAGATGGGGGGTGGGGTGATAGATAGGATCTGGGGTGGCTACGAAAAAAAAAAAGTCTCCCTTCTATTTTTTTATTGTTAGCTTTAAGACCGGGACTGATCTTGTAACGCAGATCCAAGCCACTGGCACACAGACCTCTGACAGTCCCTGGCTGCACAGTTGCCTACAGAAAGCATTTGGCTTGTTCAAGCTGCCCTTTGGCCATATCAAGAGTATTGTCATTTTCACAATGCTGTCATATTGATCCACAACACTGGATGTATGTGTATATTGTATTCATATTAATTTCAATTTAAGTCTCTTATTTTTGTATTTAAGTTCAGTGGATTAAACTCTGATCTCTTTTTTGTTCAAATAAAGAGAGGTTGAAATATGGAGAGAATGTCTTGGATTGCTGCTGGAGGTGTTGTCCTGGTGGTTGTACATGTACAATAACACATTGACGCTTCTCACTCACACAAAAACAAATATACAAAAAAAAAAAAAAAACCTCTCTAGTGTTGGTGGATGCATGAATTATTGATGTTGTGGTGCCTCCTGTCCTGCCTGGAGCTAAATAGGCTTCATACATCACTGCAAGATTTGGAGGCAATAAAATGGTCATCTGCATCAAACTCGTAAGACTTTATGAAAAAATCCATATGTGATATCAGAGCTACAGTATAAGGGCAGCTGTTTGGAGTCAATGGAAGCATGCAGCATTTTGGCCTCAGGCTATTTTTTCCAGTGTGGTATTTTTTCTGCTGATATTTACACACCAACATACATGCTGGTATCTTCTGATGTATATCTGCTGTTTTTACAACAGCACAACCTGAGATGCGTTCCCGACTTGGTTCATATTTGAAGCTTGTATTGTGGACAGTCTCCCACATACGAGTGTTATCATTGTTATTGTATGGCACGTGTTGTATGGATCTACAGTGTCTTATCTGCAGCCTGATGTCTGTGCTCCTGGGCTGCTCCAGGTTTTTAATTTCTCCAGGCTGCAATCTGCTCCAGTATCTGTGAAGAAGGGAGATCAATCATTTCTCTAGTTCTGGGGAGATGTCCATCTCTCCTTGATTGTCTCCTCACCACAGTGCAATCTTACAGGACCAGAGATAGTAGCAAAGAGATTTATGAATATGTTTTGTAGTCATGCGTGTCGTTCTTTGTGTGTTAGGAGTGAAGCTGCCAGTCGGTGCACCTCTGCTTCATTCTGATTCTATCCTTATAAATATAAGTCAGTGGCTTGAATCAGTAATGACTGATGTCAGGTCTGGACCTGACCTCCAGGTGAAGGATACTTCATGTTCATCATAAGAAGTGATCTACTGTGCAGTTGAAGGATAGGTTGGTGTTTGCCTCTGCTAGGACTATTTTTGCTTGGTACTTGCTTCTGATGTTCAACCAAAAGTGCCCAATGATCAATGCAAATGTACCTCGAGAAGATTTTCTGCAGCTTTTCACATGAATATGGGATTTCATTGGCTTTTGCTGTTAATATTTCAACAGACTTCTCACATGAAAGGCAGCAACTCTGCCTCAAAATTCTCTTAGGCCAAAGTTGGACAGCATTTCTTTAATATTGCTCTTTATGTTTTACTTTTCTAATCAAAGCATTAGAGTCAGCGCTGCAATTTCTGGCAAAAAAAAAAAAAAGAAAGAAAGAAAGAACGTCTTAACATTGAATCTATCTCAACTCATTTAAAACGTTAATAAGAATTAGATACTGTATTCCCACTGCGGTATAAAACGATGTGCCTGATTGTGAAATCACTCTTCAGATCTAAGATTAGCCATCAGTGAATTAATAACCACAACATTTGCAGTTTTTGTGGACGAGTGCCTACCAACTGTAGTTCTATTCTTTGTTTCCAAGACTGTCTCTCTTCAGTGCAACTTGAACATGCGCAGTGGATAATTGAGGTTGTCCCAGGTGTGTGTGTGAGTGTGTCAGACATCCCCTGTGGTTTACAAGAATCAGGGTACTGGGGCAGCTGCTGGTTGTAGCGGTTGCATGTGTGCTTGTGGTCTGTGGTGCATTTTGTGTGTGTGTGTGTGTGTGTGTGTGTGTGTGTAGGGAGGGAGAGAGAGAGAGAGAGAGAGAGCGCTCCAGGCAGACAATGCTCACACATTTTTAGCTCAAGGAGAGGCTTCGTCTGTCTGACATGACATTGGCAGTGTGTGCATTTTAGTTTCAGCTCCACATTATGCTGTATATGAGTGTGAGTGGGTAAAAAGTGTGAGACAAAAATACCAAAGCTGTGAGTGTCAGGTTGTTTGTGTGAGCTCAGACGCCTGGCTGTGTGGGCGGACGTGTGGGTATAGTATATCAACCATATGCTGCATGTGTTCTTTATATTTATGATGGTCTGAATCTTGGTATCCATCAGTGTCAGGGAGGAAATAAATGCTGTTTATTTGCAATCCTTCCACAGCTCAAGGATGTCAGACAACCATATGCCCAACCCAAACCACTCTCACTCATTGTCTCCCTCACAGACACTCTGACCTACTATTGTTTCCTTTTTGTGCAGTGGCAGGAAAGTATTTAATTTACACCAGGGATTGACTTTGTGTGTGCCCAAGTGTGTGTGAGTTTGTGTGCATTTGGACAATGTGATCACAGCTAGCCTGCTGCCAGCTAAATCAGTGGTCTCAGAGGAGATGTTCTTGGGAGGAGGGAACAAGACAGGCTACCCTGCCTGCGTGATGCCTCTAAGAGGATCTCCTTATACTCGCTTAGATCTCCCAGTAGACTGGAGTGCGTTGTGTTCCTTGTCTGATGTTGTTTAAAATGAACACCATACTCAACAACAGCTTGCCTGGTAACTGGGTTAAACTCAGCCACAGCAGTCAAGAGGGACCGGGTTTCCTTTTTACATGTGTTAAAAATCTGCCAACAAAGCTGTGTTTCTGCTCCAGTCTGCATCAACGCAGATGTATTTTAAACAGATTGCACGCTCTAACACATTTGTAGCTTTAATTACGTCGTTTTCATGCATCTTTATACATCACAAAGCGTGATCTAAACTCCACGATCAGGAAGAGTAATTCTTGAAAACATTAACCATAAAACCTGACAAAGTCTGCCACAGCAACACATTTTTATCACACAAAGGAGAAATCAGGTGAATACCATCACGCAGTTCTAATATTCAAATGCATTATTGTCTATCAGCATAAAAAAACAATCCGCTCAGTTCAACAGTCGTCCAGGGATCCTAGTGTTAAATCAAGCCAATAGCAACAGTGAGACTTGGTGACCAGCAGATAGAGGATTAATGAGTGAATGAAAAGAAATGTTTTGCTGTTGTTGATAAAATCTCATTCTTTGAGTTGTTTTTTAACCATGCATTGCATTGGAATAAAAATCCCCTTCAGTTAATTATACCAGCTGTTCAACATGTTTCAGAGAGTTCAACTACTGGAAAAACCTCTTTGCAAACACACCCTGAGGGTGGAGCAGGTGCAGTAACTGCCATGCAAATAAAGTCATCTGTTCAAACAGCGCAGCCAACAGCCGACACGGAGGATACTGACCAAACACAAGTGACAAAGGAAAGTTCCTGTGCTGTCATTAAATATTGTTTACTATTTTTGACTGCATCAAACAACAATGTTAAATCAGGGCCTTGATCAGGAGTTAAGAAAGAGAATTAAATCACATGACTAACCGTTAGGTTTATGTTAACAATTTATAAATGTACAAGAAAAAAGTCAAAATATAGTATTGAGAAAAGAAGGTTTCAAGGAAACATGTTTGGGCAGAAAAGAAGGTTTCAAGGAAACATGTTGTTAATTAATGGGCTTTAAAGTTGCATTTTTATGATGAAGAAAAAAAGATGACCATTCATCCATCAAAAGTCTGGGACATGAACATGGTCATTTACAGAGACAGGTCCACTCTCCTGCCTTAAGTTTTATTTCTTCACATTTATAACATCACTCTTATAACAACACACGGAGAGACACAGGTGCTGCTAAATGTCAGCATCAATCCATTAATGAAAGCTTCAAATGCTGCAGCAGAATCATGTGTCCATTTGGTTAAGATGGAAACAGATTCTGATACTGTTTAAAAAATGTCTCTTCACGTTCACTCTTATCTCCTTTGTCTTATTAATCACACTCCTCTCCTGACAGTCACTTCAATTTAGCTGCAAATTTTTCCTCAAATGAAAGTGAAAAGACTGTTTTTTTTAAAACACATTTCTACATAATAATGATCAATTTGGTGGTGATAAAACTGTCACGCAACTTTTGATGAAAACTTTTTCTAACTAGAGTGAGTGCTTTGAGTTCACTTTATTAACGGTAATGAGCTGCTTCTCCTGTGTAGTGGTGAGAGAGTGGCTGCTCAGAAATAGCAGTGATTCACTTTTGTCTGGTACAAAGGCACCGCAGTGGCTCGGAGACAGGTCTCGATCCATACGTGGTAGGTTAAAGGGCATATATTCAAACCATCTGCCCACCCTGCAGCCACCACTTTTTTAATCTAACGTTGCCCCCATCGTCTCCTTTTCACTTTTTAATGAGCGAGAAGAGAAATGTCTTGCGGGCTGTGGCTCGGTGCAAACATGGTTTGATTAATGGGAAAGACCCAAAACAGCCCAATCTTTTAGTCTCCACGGGTTTAACCCTTTTTAAAAAGTCAGAGGAAAAGGTTACTGTAAATGTCATTATGAGCATTTCACAACCTTGCTGCTTGCACTGCTCTTGATAACCCACGGCTAAATGTCATTCTCTTAACACTTTTCCCCAACATATAAAACCCTGTTACATCTAGGTTTTTTAGTTTTATTTGTCTATTTCCTAATGCTATTCTTTGAGCACAAAATGCCACTTGAAGCTTTTCCAAGAGCATGCTGTTGAATCAGGTCCTCAGTGCATTCATTTTCACAGGGGGAATGTACTGAGCTGAGATCCTTAATGTTCTCATGCTGACTCACCGCAACAGTTCACACGAGGACTGGAAAAATATGTCTTTCTATTTTTCTCCCCCTCTGTCACCAACATACATGCAAACTCTGGTTACTGTTCATTACAACAGTCTTGATTAGCTTTCTCCATGATACTTCAGAAGATGAAGTGGAAATTGAACGGTCCAGTTGAATTTAATACCACAAAGTAATAACACATTGGTACAATACTACTAGAACAAAACATTCTGCCATTATCTACTGCTTTTTCCTTTGCAGCGTTGCGAGGCAGCGACACTGCAGCCAATCACAGCTGTCAATAGGCAAGTGTGTGGCACACCCTGGACAGTTTGCCAGTCTATCACAGATCCACTTATAGAGACAAACAACGATTAATTGAGAGTGTCCCATCAAGCTTGTCCCCTAATGAGCATGTTTCTGCACTGTGAGAAGAAATAGAGGAACCTCGAGGAAGATTGACCCGTGATTGAACCAGCAAACCAGTGCAAAGGCAAACAATCTAATAACATTTGCCATTGTGTGGCCCGTGTCTAAAAAAAACATGACAGTAAAACAGGGTCAGGTCTAAAAATACATTTTGGAAAATATAATAGCCCCAAGTATGGTACGGGCTCTAAGTAAGGCCTATATTTATAGCCCTATCTCGGTGCTCCATCTTGCAGAAACACCTTAATTACGCGCTGTTTTTCACAGCATACCTGTGGCTGAGAAGCATTTGGGAACACAACCACATGGAGGAACAGGCTACAATTATTTTTGTCCCACTTTGCCCAAAGAAGTTACCCTGGCTGAGGGTACAAAATTAGAATATAATTATTTTTAATCACTGATATAGCATCTCTGGGGGGTTAATCATTTAGTAGTTTAACCAGATATTAGCTTTGGTATGAAAGGAGCGGCCGCCAAAGGCTCAACCTTGCAGGTTAAACATAGTGAGAGAACGTGTCCATATAAATGTTTATATATGTTTATATGTTTTATAGTCAGGCCAAATAACTTTCTAACCAAAGCAACAAATATGCCAAAAGGTCTTTGTTTACGTCTGTTTTCAGATGTGTAGCAGACATACTGGAGGTATTTACTTTTTCTTTTATGTCTGGGAGCAAAAAAAAAAAAAAAAAAAATCAAATTAGACATGAATTTTTCATGTCATGATAAAGAAATACACCCAGACTGGCAATATATTTTTAAAACCAAATATGTCAAGAAAAGAGTCTGAACATCAAGTATTCTCACAACCACCTGTAAGAATAAATGTTTTATGCTCTATTTTTTATTGTAGGCTTTAAAATGGAGTTTACTGTAAAGTAAAATTCTGCTTCTTCTCAGGCGTCGCTGCCGTGAATCACAGATAACAGCAAAAACAAGAGGAGACAAACACCTTAAACAAAGACTTGTGTGTGTGTTTGTCAGTGAGTGCCAGTGCTTGAAAAGGAATCACGGCACTAACGTCACTAACATTGCTGACACTCACCTATTAGTGGTGATGATGTTTAATGAGCCTAATGAAATTGTCAGCAAGAACACGTGTGTGCACGCACACACACTTTTCATGAGCATTCCCGAATGCCTACTCTCAATCTTAATCCTTAATCCTTAATCCAGTGGTTCCCAAAACCTTTTTGGGGTCATGACCCTAAGGTTGAAAAACACTGCCTTACCCTTACCTTTAACAAGCCCTTTAACGAGTTTTTTCTAACGTATCTGTAAATGACCCTCCCTCCCCCTAGACGAAGGGTCCACCACACAAAGCATTCCACAAAAAACATCCCCACAAGAATAGCAATACCTAAGCCACACACAGGCGTTACATCCCCACAAGAATAGCAATACCTAAACCACACACAGGCGTAAGAATAAAAACTACAAATATAAACACGTGCCATGTAACATGTAACACCACACACCTTTACAACACATGCGCTGTCTCACGACCCCATCTGGTATAAAATGTGTTAATGTCTATAACAGCGTTTTGTCTTCCCTCATATTTCCACTGATGACACATGGTCCTGTCAGGAGACAATATAAAAACTCTTAGAAACACTCGCTCTGACCCAGGTATTTTTCTCGTTCTTGTAACACGCCGTCTACCGCTGACTCTCACTTCTCTTCTCCTCTGGTACTGCCACAACCACCTCTCAGTGACCCAGGTGTGGGGTTTATTTTCACCCATCCTCACACTACACTTTGGAGCAAAGGATCAAGATCCAGACTTGATTTGGCTCCTGTCTCCTCCTTCTGTCTGCTCACTTCAAAAATATCACTCTACGTTTTCTTAAGGCTGGGTTATTTCATTGTTTTACTTTGATAGCTCAATTCCAACAAACAAACATAGCATATTCAAGGCACTGTAATGTTCCTCCATTTCGACCAAATAAACTGTTTTCAATCTATAATTTTATTTTCTGCAGAATGTCGCCGTCTTCTGGCCAAACCGACTCCACTCTACAAGTGTTTGCCAATCGTCAAGACAGATATAAACGCAGGATTCACGCTTTAGCTTTAGTTACATGGATATTAAACTGTGTCCAAATTATTAAAGGTTGAGATACAGTAAAAAAAATTTCAATCTGCATTTACATTATTCATGGTTATTTTATTTGGTTTTATTTGGTTTTCTATCATCGAAAGATATCTAGTTTATTCATGTTCCACCAGGGCAGGGTAGCGGAGTTACACATTTATGATAGGATTTTATTAAGAAATGCAGTCGTATGTTTGGTTTTAGTTCCACCAACAACAAGTTCCAGCCAAAAGTTTGTCTGCACATCAGGCCCTCTGCTGACCAAAGGGAGCAAATGTTTGTTTGATTCATTAGCCCCTTAGCGAGATACAGTACTTGAAAAGGGGCGACAAGCTAGTGATGCAAAAGCATCAACTCGTCAGGTGCTTTATCAGAACTCCTACAGTGGGATGTAGGAAGTGTTTCTGTTTACTCCAACACTGTCACAGCCACCGTCACCTCAGTGACTCAGCAGTGCAGTGACTGTTCAGAAAACACAGGAGTCCTGATGTTTTTCCACAAGTGCCTCCTTTTAGCAGCATGTGGTTGATAAGCTCAGCAAGGAAGAGTCAAATGTGAAGCATCTGCAGGAAGGTAATCTGCAGCTTCTTAGAACCCTTGCTGACTTTTAAAGATCTGCTCTGCTGGCACCGCTCCTAACCTGTGAAATATTAGGAACAAGAGTCTCCTCTTTTTTCAACCGTCATCAAGTCTTGACTTGACAAACACACAGGACAGAGCAGTTCTTTTTCCTTGTCATGCCAGGCAGAACTTCTTTCAAGTGGATTGGGTTCTAATATCAAACGGTTCTTGCCTGAGAGGAAGTTCTCCATGTTCTAATCTGTGAATGGAGCTTCAGCAGCAGGAGGGCCAGCATTGTTGGCTACAGCTGCCTGTCATTTTCTCTCACTCCTGTCCAGAGTCAGCTTTGACTTCTCATGCAGAGCGAGCTCTCAAACTCTACAGTGTTTTTTTTTTATTTTTCATCTTTAGAATTCAACAGTTTCAGACTGCCTCTGAGTGATTGACTGTATTTGTATTCTTCAGTGATGGATGTCAGAGAACCCATGGTGAATCTAGAAGATCTTGAGCAGAAGCCCTCAAAGGGCGGCCCACTCTCCATACCAGGCTTGTGCGCCACCTATTTATAGACAGCAAGCTGAGCATGTGATAGGGAGCTGTTTTCCCTTCCTTTAGTGTGTACGTATGTATACACATACAAGTCTCAAGAAAAGTTACATTTTGTATTATGTGCCTCTGTTAATAAATTACATAAATGACGTGAATCAATACTGAATGTAGTAC